CTGGAAAAAATTTTCAAATTACTATGAAATATAGTTTATAGTAGTTTATTACTATGAAACCTAGTTTATATTTTATAGTCTGATACTTCAAAGAAATCACAATGTGCCTTCTATGCTGAAGACCTTAACCCATTGGCCACTCTAGAGAAAGATGGGCAGTCTGTGGTTATACTCTAAAGCAAAACAAATAAGCTTTCCTGCCATACTGGACACAAGGTAAGAGAGACTAGTAAAACTTAAGATGCTAGCTATACACATAATTCTCAGCCACCAGAATTTGAAGATGGCTTCTTACGTGGGAAAACAGATAAAAGTATGTTTGGGATTTTGTGAATCAGGACTGAATTGAAATATATTAGAAATATAGCATATCACTGGACATCTAAATGGCAATGATTCTGGTATATGTGTGATTCTGAAGATTAGCAAAGTAGTCTAAGTAACAGACACAATTTGGGGGAGATCAAGAATAAAAGAGTGTAAATGGCAGAAGCCAAGCTGTGCTTTGGCACCTGACCTCAACACACATGTGTCAGGAGATGAGGAGAAGCCATCACTGAAAATGAGAAGGAGAGAACACCCAGGTGAGAATTGTGTAATAATTTATCATTACTATAATATAACCCGAGTCCTTTATCAATGTACAGAACTGACTAAGATGTATCCTTTCCTCCTCAGTTGGCTCTGAGCAATGTAAATGATGCTGGTTGAAGTACTGATGTGTAATCTCTGAAGCCAAGTGACAGCTGCCTTTCTTCGCCTGTGTCCCCCTCTGAAAGGGTTGCTGACCCAGACCGGACACTGTAGCCAGAAAAGCCTCAGCCAGAATTATGGAGCTCCTGCCTCCCCCGCCCCTAGAGATTTACCTGTAGCCCTATAGCCCCCCCCCACCCTTCGGAACCTGCCCCTGCCTCCAAACGTGTGCCAATGAAATACCTGTGCATCTCTAATGGCCTTAGGGCACTGCCCTAAGCTTAGGCTACTTATATCCCCCCATGCCACGTGTCCCTGTGAGAGAGATCGCGAGATTCTAGAGGCCAGCATGCCAGTCCTCCCTCCCCGTGTTCCCAGAACAAAGGCCTCTTTTGTTTTATATTCCTCATCTGTTGGAAATATTTTTCATCTTCTGGAAATAATCCTATCACCCTCTAAAAGGCTGACCATAGAGGGAGGGTAGAGCAAATGCCACCAGAGTTTCAGTTGGGTCTGAGCCTCAAGATAATGGGTTGTGATTTCCAGAGGCAAAAAAAACAAACAAACAAAAAAAAAACAAAACAAAAAAACAAAACAAACAAACAAACAAAAAAAAAAACTTTGCACCACAGATCTAAAGTACCTGATTCCCAAACATGAACTGGGACCTCATTCATGTTACACAGATTGGTCTTTTTGCACACCATTTTCTTTACATATTGCAGAGGTATTTTCTTACTACCTATCTAGTGCAGATCATGTTAGTCACATAATTCCTGTCATTCTCTCCATCATTCATCCTCAAGCCAGTCAGATTTTCATGAATTATTAAATATTGGTTTAGTGCTCAGCTCAGGCCTTGTTCCGTGAATTCTCATCTGAATGGGCTCAAGACCCCTTGGTTTCCTGTCACTGTAAATATACCTTAGTGTCTTTATTCTGGATGTGAGTTACACTGGAGATGATAGATAGGAAGTAACTCATTGGGATTCTAATAACGTTTCCATGGGATTGCAAACGTAAAATTTTCCCAGCCACAAGGATGATGGAAAAATGACCCCTTAGAAAAGGCATAACAGGCTTTGGCTGCTGAGGTCATCCTGAGGATTTAATCTGAGCTTACATGGAAGAAGTAATGTCACCTGGCTGGACATCAAGGAAGCACAAGGTCATATGAACAAAAAGAATCACTGATATCAGAGCAAGGGGAGGACAAATGCCCTGTCACTACCTAGGAACTCCTGAATATGCCAGTTCTGACTATGGGTGCACCTCAGTTACAGAGCCCATTCTTAGGCTGTGAAAGTCCTTTCCACAACTGGTTACATCCCACAAAGAAGCGAGAGAAGAAAAACCCATTCCATGTCCACTCAGCCCCGTCTCTTCCATCTGCCTGACTATGGATACAGTCCTTGACAAATCTCACATTTATCCACAGATTCCAAACACAGAAGTCAAGGACCAAAGTCACAGGCAGAGCCCTAGAATTGTGAATGAGTTCCCTGGGACAATGAGAAATATTTGACAAATTAAGGAAAGAAAGTAATTTCACTTTTATTTTGATTTTTTAAAAAGAATATGCTAGTACTGAGCAAAAGAAAGTTCTCATTTATTCCTATTTATAAATTTGCTTTCCATGTGACTGGATCTACATAAACAATGCTAAGAAACTCACATATGCAATGCTATTCATCCTTCAGGGCAATTTCATCATTCCTAGTTTTCAAGTGAGAAATGGAAACTCACAGGAGATTCACTGGATGCAGATTTTAATCTTGTCTCTGAACTAAACTCTCACCACACATAGTATGGCTCTTACTGCTGGGAGAAAGCATGCTGCACAGGAAATGCCACTGCTCAGCTACCAGAAGGCTGTAAGTGAAGATCTCAGCATGTGGGCAGGCATTAGCAGGATTCCACTCAGCTCAGAAATAGCAGCCAGGGGTTTCTGAGCACACAAGCCTAAGCTGAGTCCAAGACCCTGATGGCATCACTATGGCTAACACCTCGGCAGCCTCTCTCTGTGAGCAATGTGGAGAGTTTCTCTGAAACCCAGGTCACACACCAGCCTCCCCCAAGACATTCCACACACAATCACCACTCTTATAAGAAACAGGCAGATGTGTGACTAGGATGTAGGTCTGTTAAAGCACTTACCTAGCATGGGCAAGGACCTAGGAATATAAAAACAAGAAAGAGACATATAAATTCTGTGTTTTGGTTTTGTGCAAAGTATCCTTTAAGATATCACCCAACCTAGAATGTAACAGTTCTATGTAGTGCCCCAGAATAGAAATTATCTTTAATTTTTGTCCTAAGAAAATCTTTAGTCACAGATAAAACTTGAATTTTTCCCATATATTTGTAATTCACATATTATGCCCATTTGATTGACTTCCAATAAGTGCAGAGATGGATTTTATGTTCAGTTATAAATTTTTTTCTGCTTAAGTAATGTTTAAAAGGCAAAATTTTCATGCAATACAAACTTCTTTCTGCATCCCTATTTGTATAATATTTGGCAAAGGCAAAGCTATTTGCTCACAACTATATTGAAGTTATAAGACAAGGCAGCACCCTTGAACGCTCCCAAGATCCATATATGGTCAAGCTCCACTCAACTCAGACTCACCTGAATCACACTGCTTCCTGCTCCTTATATAAATGTTCTGCTTCTTCAGATGCCCATACTGAATATTACTTTCAGTATGGGATAGCAAAAGCTTGTGAGATCACAAATCACTATTTGAAAAGTATGAGAATATTGCTTCCTAGTATGCCCCCAGTGTAAGTGCTCAATTCCATTTTAATGTGACTATAATGGCAAATACTAAGTTCATTGTGCCCATAGAGACTCGAAGGTTTCCATGCCCAAACACTGAATTTGGTTGATTCCAGTGAGATGAGGGGACTGGAGGGCAGGCTCAGCTAAACACACAGTTATTCTCATCATTAGCGTGAAGTCAGATGATTAAACTACAGAGGAAGGTGTGATGCTGCAAGAAATGTCAGAGAGATGAGCTGGTGCTGGCTCTGTTTAGAGGAAAAGGACTACTGGCCAAGTGATGAGGAGGACATCAGGCAGCGTGAAAGGCAAGGGAAAGACTCTCTCCTGGAGGTATGAGAATGTCTGGATATTTTCCCACCAAATCTGAACTGTAGAAAGATGAAATTTCTTATTTTAATGAATTGTATCAGTATCTCTTGCCAGGAATAATCATCACATTCATCATAGACCATTTGTACCAGTACATGGCGTATCATAACGCTTATTTTTTTCCCATTACCTTCACTCAATCATTCTTCCCCTCTTTATTTACAGAACTTTTTACTATTGCTTTCCTTCCATTCTTTGCATAGTTTTAATCTGTATTTCCTTCTTTCTCAACCCTATGTCCCCTCCCTTGTTTACTTTCCCTTTTGAACAATTTCTTCCTGATTCCTATAATCTGTCCTCCATCTTGATCCTTATTTAGGCTTTGAGTTTCCAGTCTAAATAAAACAATGCAATATTTAAACATATGTGTCCAGTCAATCTCATACAAAATTATTTAGATGCACTCATTTACCTAAAAATGACTCTAATTTATTCTACTGTATGGCAAAGAGGTACTACATTGAACACACAAAACACATTTTCCTTATCCATTAATCTGCAAAAGAGCATATAAGCTGTTTCCAAGATTGAGTTATCAAAAAGTTCACCACATAAAAGAGTGTGCATAGATTTCTGTGGCTGATTCCAAAAATGAGCATCTGAAATATAATCAGCAAATAAATATATGAAAAAGTGCCCAACGTCATTCAACAAATGCAAACTCAAACAACACAAGGTTTCATCTCAATCCACAAGAAAGTGGCTATTGCCAAGAAAGCAAACAATGACAAAAACTGGTGAGGCTACAGAGCAAAGAACCCTTTTCCAATATTGGCAGGAGTTTAAGTTGGCATAACCATGCTGGAAATCAGTATGGAGATTGGTAAAAAAAAAAAAAATTAGAATTAGATGATCCCTTTGGCCTTAGTCTCTCCCTTCTAGATATCACCAAAACTGTTAAAATAAAGAAATTCATATGTTAAATTATCTGAGCTTGTAGCAAATAAAAACATAAAGAACATGAAACTAATCCAGAGCTCCGCATTTTCCATATGAATTTCTCATACCAAAAGAATCAAGAACCAAGGAGTGGCTTTAATTTGTACTAAACTCTGCAAACTATCTCATGCATACACCAGAGCATGGTCGCTCAGGCAGCAGGAGGAAGTGTTGAAGCCCTGGGCTTTGTAGTGAGCAAGCAGCTGGGGCGATACTGAGAGGAAGTTTATGTACGAGGCTGAATCACTGTGGGAAGAGCACTGTAAGTCTGCATACAATAATAATCTGCCACATCTTCAGCCTGCACCCTGCTGATGGTGAGAGTAAAGTCTGTGCCAGACCCACTGCCACTGAACCGGTCTGAGACCCCAGTATTTCGGGTGGATGCCAAGTAGATGAGCAGTTTGGGAGATTGCCCTGGTTTCTGCTGGTACCAGATTAAGTAGTTCTTGTTGTCATAACTGTATAGAAGACTTTGGCTGGACTTGCGGTGGATGGTGGCACTCTCTCCAGGAGTCACTGCCAGGGAGGCTGGAGACTGGGTCATCACAATGTCACTGCAGACACCTGCAATCAGGAATGAATGGTGATCACACAGGCATAAACATAAAAGACATTTCAAATATAAATACTGCAATTAAACATTTAGTATATACAAAGCTATTCTGTGGTAACACATATTTATGTTTTTATCGGACATAGTCATTGTTTTCAACTTCTTAAAGTTATTTTTTAATGCTACAATGACATCACTCTGTGGAGATGGTGGAGCTTTCCAATTTCTCACCAGAGACACAGAGAAACACAGTCAGGAGCATTGGGGTCTGACAAACCATCTTGCTGTCCCTTCTGTGGCAATGCAGTTCAGACCCTATTGAGAAGGCTCTTCTTATAGCATCTTTGCAGCTGCACTGGGAGTGACCTATGCAAAGGAACTAGCAAATAAGGAAGTAAATTGCAGGGGTACTGGGCTGTGAAAGGAACTGATTAAAACAAGAACCAAAAATACCATTACAGAAAATGTGTTTGTGTGACAAGAAAAACAAACAAACAAAAAAAAAAAAAAAAAAAAAAAAAAAAACAAAGTCAATTTAGAGGCTGTATTATTGCACATCCACTAGATGGCATGACAGAAAGTCTTAGTTTCAAGTAAAAAAATGTATTTAAACTGGTTTAGTTTGGCAGAAATCACAGGCTAGCTGCATTATATTAAAAAGACTTGTGAAATACTACAGAACACTAGAAAAAAAAAAGACCAAAAACACAGCAGGGAGAAATAGGAACAAGTGGAGAACAAGGTAAGAGAGAAAAGGGATGAAGAAAAGAAAGGGAAACACAAGAAGATGCCATTTTCTAAGGCAAGTTTATTAGTCTCTTTGAAAAAACTATGTACAAAATTCAAAGACACTTTCACCTTGAAGCTACTGAATAACACAGGAAAAACTTGATACTCAATTTTCATCTCATGCATAGGTGGACAGCAAAAGATGGGCTGAGGATTCATATTGTGAATCCTGTTGTACCCAGATTGAACCTGAGAATTTGAATTGTGAGCCAAAGGATAACAGCATTCTGTCCTTCCTACAACCAGGAGCTAAAAACAAGATTCTAAATAAGCTGAGAAATGGAGAGAGAACAAAGAAGAACTCTCAAGAAAATCATGACTATAGACCAAAACTACCAAGAATATTTTCTCAGAAGAAAAAATACCTGATTCAGGATTCATCCACTTTGAAAATAGTGGAAGATAGCCTGACAGAGGAGGTGCCCAAGTGAAAACCTGTCTCCTGGAGCACAAGACCATCCTCAATATGCAACAAACTCTATGATTTAATTTTCAAGGGCCACTAGACCACAAAGTCTGAGATTTCTAATATACAAAAGAAAAGTGTAATTTAAGTTTGAATGCAAAGTAATAGAAATGACAGACAACAAATGTTCTACACAGATATTAGATTCAGGAATGCTGAAAACAAATTGAACAAAAAATTTGTAAAATACATACAGCATGCAAAATGCTGGAATATAAAAATGCTTATAAGAGATTGGACCAGTGTTTAGCACTGACATCTCAGGGAATATTGTGTCCAATGCACACTGTTAAACTGATCTCAACACTTTACATTTGCCCAGACCTATTATTGACAACCAAAAATGTATTTTAATTTTTTTCATTTAATAAGCCTGAACTAACCATTTGTTCTGCTTTGAATAGTTTCATTTCTGATTTTTGATATAAACACATTAAATTCATAAAACATTCAAGTTTCACTTACAGCGGCTCAGATATATTAATACAACAGAGGAAAATAGCACAGGGTTTAGGAAAGGTCCTCAGATCCAAGGGCAAGAATATGGAAGATGAGTAAGTTTGCCCTAATCCAGTCTTAAAAGTTCTCATTTTGCTATATCTTTATTTACATTTATAATTTGACTTTGTAACTATTTTGGGAGCACAAATTTCTTTCATTTCATTTACTATTAATTACAGAATTTAAATAGAGAGCAAGACCATAATACTCCACAAAAATCAAGGAAACATGATTACTTCTCACATGCAGACTGAGAAAATTAGAAATACACCTTTTGTATTATTTTTATTTTAATTTAAAAGAAACATAAAACACGTATTACTTACTCTACCACAAACTGAATTCCCACAGTGCCTACTGGGTGTGTTGAGTGCTTCAGCTGACACAGAAAACACCAATAAAATTTGGAAGTGAAAGCAACACAGGTTGATAATCTCCCAGGACAGGGGCTGGAAATCCACAGTGTAAGTGCCTGAGCAGCTCTGACACAGCACCTTTTCCATACTTAACACTTTGAATGGACACACGTTGTCCTGACATATGAAACACTGGACTCCTTCTGGCTCTGGTAGTGTATGGAACCTCTGCTTGCTCTGTGGAGTCCAAACTGTGTTTTCCCAAAATCTATGAAAAGAACGAGGTGGTAGAGAAAGAATTTTTTTCTAGATTTTGTAGAAAATAAAATGAAACCCAATTTTTCCTAGTTCATTTGTGCACTAATCTACAGGCAATTCTTGCATTCAAAATCTTTTGATGAATGTGATATGGACAGAAATAAATGAATATGATAGTAAACTCACCAGTGTGCAAACTAATGCTACATATTTCATGTTCTCTTACCTAGGAAATAATTCTCTCTGCATGGAAAGGATAGAACTTTTGCCCCTGCCAAGTACTTTTCACTTGAGTTCCCTTTTGGTGTTAATCACAAGGTCCAGGAAATACTAAACCTAACGTGTTTCTAACATTCTCTACTGCACTTTGTAACAACAGATCCCAGAAGTTGCTTGCTAGCTCCACACTGTGATATTAAAGATACCAGAATCAGAGATCAATCCTGGTGATATAGGAGCCCTACCATTCCCTTCCTAGGCAGGGAAGAGTCCTAGCAGTGTGGCCTTCCCACTCCCACACACTGACTCACATCCACACCACATGGTCTAAATTCTGGAGTTGCCTTCAGGGTCAGGGCAGGGTGTACTGCATCTCCCTAACAGATCCTACTTTCACACATGGGGGTTTTCTGCTCAATGCTGCAGAATATGTGGGATTGGATTCTATTGGGCTTCCTCCTAACATGGAAAGCCTTGTTCATCACAGTTTTCAGGTAAGAGGTCTCTCACCATGCTTTTGCCTCTTTCTACATGTTTATACCCATTAGAGAGTCACCCAGGGAGTGTCTTCCTTTGATAATTTGAAAGAAATGTGCTGCACTAACTTTGCTTCACTGATCATAATTCTTCAGTTTAACTTCTCAAAATCAGGCTCTCTGCTCAGCTCGTGGGCTGCTAACACTGTGGCCCACTGGTAAGGGCAGAGAGGCAGGAAGAAGGAGAGCAGGGTGAGAGGGTGAGCTCTGGGGATCCAAAAATGCTCATATCTGATTTATGGATGTGGGAGCAGGCAGGGCAGATCACACTAGATCTACTTGCACAGATCACAGTGCAGGTCCTGTACTCAAGGATGACGTTTAAATCTATGAGAGAAGGAGAGGCCAGAAAGTGAAAGCACCTAAAATCTGGGGAACACTGTCACATTGAAACTGGGGGCTGATTTGTAATTGATTCTAGAAGACCCTTAGTGATTTTAAATCTGGCTCCATTTAAACACTGAATATTTTTGGTTATACATCTTAGTCAAATAATACATTAGTTCAAAATACACAATGAAAGAGAAAATTATGAAAATGAACTCATGATTTTCCTTCATTATTCTGGAGTACACTGGAAAAAGTGCAGTCATCCATAATCCCAGACAACTATTGCCCCCCAAAGTTAAATGTAGGCCAAGAGAAACTGAAGAGTTTGATAAAAGATCACTTGATATCTGATATACTCTTCTTGGGATTTGGGCCAAGCTTACAAAGTATATATTAAAAAAATCCCATGAGGCTCCTCCAATACTGCTATTAATGTCTGTGTTTGCTCAGTTTTCAGATCTATTGTCCTCAGTAGATGTGATGGAAGGTGGTCAGGTGTTGGTCATAGAGTAAAATCAGGACAGATACGCTTTACTGACATACTGAATGTGAGATGTGACAAAAAAGTAAAACCAAGGATGAGAACCATATATTTGCACCTGAACCACCAGGTAATTTGCATTCATGTGTTTACATGGGAAAGGAGAGGAAAGCAACCCTGAGAGGCAGTCAGCATGAGGAGTGGATCGTGTTACAACTATGAGATGCCATCAGACCTGCATTTAAATCCTAAACCTAAATCTATCACCACACACAGAGAGCAAAAATCTAACCTCAACCACAAAGCAAGAATTTCATAAACAATGTTGCAGTTTTCAAGTAATAACTTAAATGATATTGAGCTAAAAAGAAACCTTCCATTGGGGATGATTGCTGTGAAATGGTGCAAACATAATTTCACCTGTGGGATCCAGGCCCCCTAGCAGGTGGAAGGTGTGGAAAGTTGCTTTTAAAGAAGCATGCATTACCTTCCTTCTTCTGGTCAGCTTCATGCACTGCAAGTTCCCAGAGACTGCATATTCGCTATAAAAACACATATTTATTGTGATATTTTGTTTACCGCACTGTATTCTATTTCCACACCTGCAAAATTCCTTGGACATCTCAGGAATCTCTAGACATTTAATCTGTCCCATATTTTCATTCTATATATTGAAAACTGGCTCATATAGATCATTTTGTACAACATCATTTCCATTGGCCACCTATTGTGGGTCTCTGCTTTTTTAGTCACTGGAATCCAGTCTCATACCCACCCTTCTTTGCAGCCAAGTACAACAGCCAAGCTAATCTCATGTTACAGATAATCTAGTGTCTTGTGTTCTAATGATCTTACAATACCCACTTATAATACTGCTCTTAACCCAGCTACTGACCTTGACTCTCATGAGTAAGCCCTCCACTTCCACACACCAGGAAAAAAGCATTTAGGCTCTCATCAGGGCCAGAGTCATGAAGTTTAATGAACTCAAGCAGGCGCAATGGTGCCTAGCAGGAAACTGAGTTGTGATGAGGTCATGAGGAGCAGCAGAATTCAGCAACTCATGGCTCAAAGTGCAGCCCAAGAAACAGACTCCAAGGAGAAAAGAGTTCTGATAAGATACACAGACAGTACAGAGCAGGCAGGGCAGATCACACTAGATCTACTTGCACAGATCACGAAGTCTGCAGGTACAGCTCAGTGGCAGAGTGCTTCACCAGCAAGCGGATGTCTTGCAGTCAGTCCTAAACATACACAATAAAAACAGAAAAAGGAAAATTCCCATCTTCATCAATAACTAGAATATGTGGAAACAGATCTGGGCTTGAAGAGGGTTCAGAGTTCTCCAACAGACTCCAAACACAGGAGTCCAGAGTGGCAAGCAACCCTGAAGCCTGGTGACAAGACAATAACTCAGGGCAATAACAATTCACTGAATACTTTAAGCAGA